CCTCGATCTGTTAGGGTGTGAAGAGAGTTTCGGGTGTGTAATATACTCCGTTGAGGGTAGTTCTAGTTAGTTATTTTAAAAACTCGTTTACGAACATGATATTATATAGCAATCAGGGAAGCATGCCCTTACTGTATTTTTTTCAGCGTTCATTTAGGTTCGGCTACAGTTAATTTTTCTTTTTACTTTTGGAAAATTTTCTCAAGATTATCCAAGTAACACTAAATTATCAATGCCAATTACATTAAGCACAAGAATCTCTCTGTATTGTGCGTTAACAAACGAATTCATATGTATCTATTTTACTTTTATTTTGGTAAATTCACGTACAATTTTTGTTTTATTCAAAAACGGAAGGAATTGATTAAAAAAAACTCAGGCACATTTCCAACAGATTTATTATTAAATCATGAATGTAACTATTTTTTACAATGAGCAGGGTATTACCTCTTGAATAGCGTATGTCCTTTTTATATCGGCCAGGCCGTTCTCTTTAAGGACCTCATCAATTAGTTTAGCTTCCTTTTCTGTGTAGCTTCTGTACCTGCTCCTCGCGTATAGTATTTCTGGAAAAACGAAAAATAATTGAAAAAGAACTAACGATGGATTTTTACAAAAGAAACTAAGAAACGATCAAGCAGAAATTAAAAACAATCATGCACATTAATAGTTAAGCGACATTTCGCCTTTTTATTAAGACTTCCTTCTACTAAAATTAAAGAGAACGTGTGTGAAGGTTTAAATACATAGGTATATGCTATCTACAAAATCGTTCAATTTTTCGTCATTAATATAAACTTCCACGTTGCCTTTGTGAGATTTTAGAAAAAACAATTACTTTATAGATGCATATCTACTAATTTTAAGGAAGACGCACCATTTATTTTCATAAAATATTTCCTCCAACTCGAAATCGAAACAATTGCTGCAGTTTTTCTCATTAAATATTTTATGAAAATAAAGTGTGTGTTATCTTTGAAAGTAGTATAACGTGTTTTCACAATCACCCTACCGCAATTTTCATTAATTTGTATATAGGAATACTCATCCTTACCTCTTCTGTAGTTGCTGTTTATGTTGACGCAATTGTAATCGACGGTATAGTAGGAGCTATCGAACGCAAGAATTTTAAATTGCAGTGACTCGGCAGAATTATTGGGTTTAATATTTATAATCCCTTCACCACTGTCACTAGCGATTTCTACCATACCACTAGATTTCGGAAGCCATTTGTCATTTTTCATATCTTTTTGGGTCACAGTGTATGTCGAGTCATTGTATTTTGGCCCAGTACTTCCATAGCCTACTTCCTGGCAGTCGGCCGGCATGNACAGAAGTTAAGAGAAGTGGAGGTAGATCTACATTAGACTATGGTTCACAAACAGTTAAGGATGCAGGATATGGTAGTTTTAGGGAAATGTGAAGATTACTCCACGATAGGGAAGATGATGATGATGGAAAATTAAGAGGACGAATCATCGGCAAATTTAACATGTACCATGTGTTCAATGAACTTATTGTTACCTCTCGTCCACAAAATAATTTAATTCTGTCTTCATAAATATAAAGCTTATAATCGCGATTATAAGGTTATAGAAAGAAATACTTTATATATGCTCATTGTTACCTTTTCTGCGTTTCGTGTCTATATTTTCGCAATTGTAATCAATGGTAAACTGATCATGGTTGTAGCCGAGAATTGTAAATTGCAGTGGATCGACAGATTTCTCGAATTTTATTGCTATAACTCCTTGACCACTACCACTAGCCAATGTAACTACACCAGTAGACTTAGACCATTGCTTTATTGGTACATATTTCTGATGCGAAGTTACACTTGAGGATGCAGGTGACGGTCTTTCAAAGTTTAGATACTGGCAGTCGATCTGGATGTTGGAAGTAATCACAGTGAACCATCTCCGCAGGCTTCCATACTATTAAAAAAAATTATAGTGAATTGGATAATTTACTATTAGATGACTAATTTTTAAAAACAGGTAGTCACGTTTTGTAAAATTCATATGGCTATTTGTGTTCTATTAAGATACAAAATATTTCTTATATCTGCCTGTCTGTTTGTACGTACTAGCTAATATTCGAATAAATAGCCTCGCTTTTACGGTGCTAGTCCTGTCAGGATAGTACTTTCGTGACAGTTATGAAAATATTTAAGAAAATGCGAACAATGTGACGTGTAAAATAAAGTTAACTTACGTAATCAACTCCTGGAAAATCTTTTGCCGGTTTTATATTTCTGTCTTCACACTGACCTTGAGAGATGTATTGTGAATAAGAAGACGAAATGAATGCAAGAAAAACAATAGCAAAAAGTTGCTTAAACATTTTTACTAAGTACCTACTTCTAGGTTGTTGCTTGCAAAATGTAATGGTCCTGTATTTTTCTGAGTGTATATATATATTGTTCAACAGATCGAATCAATCATCTTGTTATGATGTTAATGTCAAATAATAAGCTGTTTTTCCGAGAACTGTGCTGTAATCTCTCATCTCTCAACCACTTATTAGCGGATGTAAGTGTACCTATTTGGGGAAAGAACGGGGCTCAGCCGGGCGTTATGTCCTATTATATTTGAGGCGGGGTGGTTAAAAATGGATGAATTATTTAATCTATGGAGAATAGTACAAAATAATTCAGCACGTATTATTATACAGAGTGGTATTTTTTATATTTGTGAAAAACATTTGATAAACAAGTCAAATTAATCAATCTAGGTGTAGGTATTGAACAATGTGTTTTCTCTTTATCAGAAATATGAAATCATTTCTCTGTGATTCATTGAAGTGTTTGCACGTAGAAGTTTACAAGTACTCTTCTTTTTAATTAAATTATCTTTATTTTTGGCACTATCTCGCAATGTACACCAATGTTTTAAGCTATCTTTATTTTGTAACAGCATTTTAACAAACTTTAGAGTTGTATCTAAATTCAAATTCTGTAAGTAAACTGATACATCGCAGTCACTTGATAATGAATATATTCTCAAACATAAACCAGCGAAGCGCAGGAGTTGTTTTTCTCCCTTAAAACTGTGGGGTGCTGCTCATTTTTCAACCGAATACAGGATATTTAGCTAGTCCTGAGTTTGCAAACGTAAACTTGTACAAAACCCGAATTTTATAGCGAATCTAGTCGAAACCATCTCCGACTTGCTATTTTACTACCCGGGAACTGTTTCTGCGCTCAAGTAACATAGATTGCTGAGATATTTAGGGAGCTATAAACCTAAAAAGTTTTTATCTCGTATCAATGACAAGTTTTTATTGTAGTTTCAACCAGAAGTGTTGCAGAAACTCGCGATTCGTAAGATACAATTAAGAATGATGTTTGTTCTTGAGGAAATTTTTGTATTGAGTTGAAAGATAACTTTCTTTTATCCTCAAGTCGCACGCTAAATTAATGGCGAGCGAACTAGTTGTTGCTTATTTTCGGTAGTGAAAACACTTGTTTTTAAATTAACTGTTTTTATTTACATACGTATATACAAATTGAACGTGTGCATTTAAAATTTATAAAAAACATATGAAGGAAATTAAAGTAACTAAAAACGAATCTCTCGTTAGTTCTTGATCTTCTAAATGAACCGTTGCAACCCCTTTTATTAGGAATGGTTGATAGAAACCACCCCACTATTATCATACATAAAGAAAGGTCGAGCATACAACCAAACAAAACTTTCTCTTGCAAAACTGACTCGACGAAAAATATATATACAATTGAAACAAATAATGGCACTAGAAAGCGTGCTTCTTATTTTCCAGCTAGTTATCCAGGCTACATTGTCATGGTAAAATTGCAATTTTGCACAATCAGCATTTAAGTTTTCTTTATTGTTCTTTAAATGTAAATCTTTAGATTTGTTACAAATACGTCTTAGCATTCAGACGTGCGAACCTACATCCTTTTCATTTTGTAACATTTAACGCTTATATTGAGTATTAATGTACAAGTAAATAAAACGTGAACTC